TTTATCATCATCTGAACTGAAACCCCTTTCCCCCAAGTAAGTCAAGCAGGATTTAAATTGTAAACATTTAAGTCACACAAAGTTTTTATTTAAATTTTTAATTATTTCAAAATTATTATTATTATTTTTTTTTACTAATGCCTTGTGTTCTAAAAGCGCTGGAAAAATGCAAAGGGGGAGGAGACACGTATGCAGTGTGTCGCTGGTTCCACTGGTTTTATGGTAATTGTCCCGCTATTACTATTTATTTTTTCTTACTGGTTCTTCAGATTACTACACTTTAATAAATCTCCCCCAATGAGTGCTACAAGAAATTATTGTAGTAAGCTGAAGGACAAAAACCGCTCCGCCAACAGCGCTGACCAATTTTTACAAGATTGTATGTCCATATGTGGCATGTAGCCTAAAATGTTTATTGCCAATCAAGACTTATTATCATTATTAATTCAAATTTTGTAATGTTGGTTCCAGGGTTAGAGAGTACATCGAGAGGCCTACCCACGTAAGCTTAAGAGTTGCCTTGTCTCACAAGTTCAAGTGGTAAGATGTGCCATCCCAGTTTTTTCTTCTTCAACTTATTGCCTTGCCCATTTTTTATTTATTTTTTGCTCCATAAAAATTTTGCAAAAATGTAATAAAAAATATTTGAAAAGAAATGTGCAATCACAATGGAAATCATTTGAATGTGTATGTAACTTACTAAAACCATGGCACTCGCGGGGACTTGTTTCATGTACAGCTTGAGAAAAGCTATCAGAACTCTACATTGTGCCCCATTAAAAACAAAGAATGTGACGGCAGATAAGAACCATTTGGCCCATCTAGTCTGCCCTATTTTCTAAATACTTTCATTAGTCCCTGGCCTTATGCCCTTTCCACGCATGCTTAACCCCTTAAGGACCAAACTTCTGGAATAAAAGGGAATCATGACATGTCACACATGTCATGTGTCCTTAAGGGGTTAAACTCCTTTACTGTATTAACCTCTACCACTTCAGCTGGAAAGCTATTCCATGCATGCACTACCCTCTCAGTAAACTAATACTTTCTGATATTATTTTTTAACCTTTGCCCCTCTAATATAAGACTATGTCTTCTTGTTGTGGTAGTTTTTCTTCATTTAAATATAGTCTCCTCCTTTACTGTGTTGATTCCCTTTATGTATTTAAATGTTTTTATAATATATCCCCTGTCTCGTCTTTCCTCCAAGCTATACATGTGAAGATCCTTTAACCTTTCCTGGTAAGTTTTATCCTGTAATCCATGAACCAGTTTAGTAGCCCTTCTCTGAACTCTCTCTCTAAGGTATCAATATCCTTCTGAAGATACGGTCTCCAATACTGCGAACAATACTCCAAGTGAGGTCTCACCAGTGTTCTGTACAATGGCATGAGCACTTCCCTCTTTCTACTGCTAATACCTCTCCCCATACAACCAAGCATTCTGCTAGCAGTTCCTGCTGCTCCATTACATTGTCTGCCTAATAATTAACCCTAAATCCCTTTCCTCAGATGTTGAGGTTAGGACGCTATCAAATATTCTATACTCTGCCCTTGGGTTTTCAATTACTATTCTCCTTGACACTGTCCTTTGTTACAGAATTGTGGCTAATGTTTATGATCTGGGTTGGGATGAAACCTTGTAGATGTCATATTTGACCAGGATTTCTTTGTTCTGGCATGCTCCTTTATAATCTGTTTACTGCTGCCATGCTTCTCCTTTTTTAATTGTTCTTCTAAATTGATAATCCTGCCTTCCTTTGCAATTTAGTATAAACTCTGATTCACGCACAAACCTCTTCAAAACTGTGCCCCAGGTCATCATTGGATCTCAAAGAGGCAGCCAGTGAGCTGCCATAGAGGTGAGAATACAACATATGTCTTATCCCAACCTTCCACTTACTGCATGCTACTTGGAGTTCCAATAGCACACCAGTCATAGGGACATCAGGATCAACTACTGTAGTCCCACTCAGTCATGCTATGAGTGGGAAGAATTATGGTTCACGGACTGCTGGCTGTAACCCGCGGTCGACCAACCCTCCCTCAACCACTGTGCCCACCCTTGTCTAGGGATAATGGTAAGACAAGGCAAGAAATTCTCAAGGTGTTCAAGCTGCTGGCAGTTTTAATAGAACAGAAAAGAACAGCAACGTTTCGACCTGCTATGAGGTCTTTTGTCAGGTATAATGGTAAGGCATAATCTGCTCTTTTTAAGCATTCTTTCAGTTTCTTGACTAGTCAGAAAAAACACAAAACCACCAACAAACAAACAAAAAAAACCTTCTTAGGAAAGCATATCATTTTACAGAGTAAATTATGTTGTTTTCCAGCAATTAAGTTGTTTTTCCATCACACAACTTGTCCTCCTACTTTCTGATCTAATCTTTTTAAACCTTCTTACTATGCAGTTGCTATATGTGTCTTGTGTATATATAACCTGTCAATCTACCTTGCCTTTTGGATTCACGGCAGTTTATTTCTTTTGTGCAGTCCTACTTTTTGAGCAGTGTACTCACTCCCTCATTATTGCATGCCTAAAGTTGTTTCTCATCAATTGCCCCAATGTTGTGTTGCAAAACATTTTGATTCAAAGTATGTGTGTGTTTAACCAAATTATTCGCTCCATTACTAAAAGTCACTGAGTCATTGCACTTCCATAGATCCTTAGATAGGATATTTAATTAAAGGAGAACAGTTCCAATTATATATTCAATATCTCCAATCTCTCTTATCTGAAAGAAATGTGATTTACAATCTACAGTTTCCTGTATGCAGGTAACTCCCAGACCAGCTGTAGTAGCCCAACACTCATGGGCTGCAATTGAATGTTTATTGCGCCAAGATTGATGGGAGTTTTCAGTATCTCACAGTAATGGTTACCTTTTTCTCTTCCCATGTAAAATGTATTGTATAAAGCTTATTTACTTGCCATAAAATGGTTGCATACCTTCTGGTTTTCTCAAACCTGTTTTGTAAGGAACACTAAGCACCATAAAAGCTTAGCTCATTGGCTGAGAACGATTCATAATGCTTTATTAATAGTAAGTTTTCACTTAAAAAATATTCACTTGTGTTGTAATTAACCTTGCAATTTTAATTATCAAGATCAGCATTACCTAATTATCAATTGCCAAAATAACAATTTGCATTGCTATCACTTAAGTGCTGAAGGTTGCAGACAGCAGATCTGATAAGCTGACATTAAAGGAACACTATAGTGTTAGGAATGCAAACCTGTATTCTTAACTGTGTAGTTTGCCCTGTCCCTAACTTATTCGATCCCTCCACCTGCCGTCATGAAAGGGGTAAAAAAAAACACACCTTTTGTTCCACTTACCTATTTCCAGTGTGAGGTCCCTCAGTGCTGGCTCTGTCTCCTCCTTCCACAAAATCATGCCGATGGGTGAACCTAATGCGCATGATTAATGCTTGTGCATGTCCAATGTTGTTTCACAAAGTAAAACTCTGGTAAAATCGAGGAGGCGCCTCTAGTGGTTTTCTTAAATCTGCAATGCAAATGTTCTACTTGCAAGGTTAAGGAGACTGGGGCACATCACCCAGACCACTTTAATGAGATGAAGTGGACTGGGTGACTATATTGTCCCTTTAAATGCATCTTGGGAGCCAGAGGGTGAGAATGGGAGTTGTTAGGGGGCACTGCTAGTAGGTTAGTGGATCTGCAAGTACTGATAAATGCATAGTTTATGAAAGTTAGATAATGGAGAGTGAGACACAAGAAAGGGAAGGTGTAAATGAAAGGACAGGAAAGAAATAAGAGGACGAAAACTGCAGAGACAAAAGTAGGTTTCCATTTAGGCACTATGCAAAACATTTTGAGATTAAAATGTATAGAAACTCTAGATTACAAGGCAGAAATACCAAATGGTCAGACCTACATTGTCCTGTGCTAATATCCTCTTTATCATCTTAGAGTGGTGACAAGTCCAGACATGTACCATCCCTTTCATGTAGGGATTTTGATAATTCTAGTTTTTCTGCTGCTAGTATCTTTGAAATACATAAAATACACCTAAAATATATAAAGAGTTTTAAACAGCCAAAATTTACACGTTATTAAAAGTATTGCTCAGTTGGGTGCCATGTTGAAACATTTCAAAACTCTGTGCTCAGGATGGAAGACTCACTTCTTCTAATCCCATTCTGGGACACTGTGTGCAGGTTTAACCACCATAACTGTACCATTGTGTAAAACCGATATTATGACTGTTAGGCAGAGAGTAAAAAAAAGAACATTTGAGTTGGCCAAGTGAGATGGGAGTTCCATTGACTCATGTCTTTTAATCAACTTCTGCAATATTTTCAACTTGGGAACGCTAACAGTGTACCACCAAACGTAACTGTCATGGCAGGACATTAAAGACGGCTATCTGGCAGAAAATAACAGATTTGTTTTTAAAAAGGCTTTTCTCAGGTGAGCATGAGTTCCAAAATGGCACTGCCAAGCACATAGGCCGAACCGGGCTCAGCCATTTGCACAAAATAAGATTTGAAGGACTTAAAAAGGATGCTCCACAGTCTGGATGATGGCCTTGAGATGGAGTTAAACTTCTTTTATTTTAGACAAGCGAGTGGATGATATCCAGGAAGCCCAACTTGAGAATCACAACAGATTTGATAACTTATTAAACAAATTCAGGCAATACTTCATGGAAGTCCAAGACAATAGTTAAAAGTCTAGTATACCAATATGGCATTACAGACACAAAAAAGTTCCTTCATATAACTTAGAAACAAAACAAAAAATAGCTTTATTATTATCAAAATAATTTGAATAGGACTCAAAGTCACAAGAAAAATGTATTTTATTTAAAAAAGCTAAAACAATAGTCCAATAATGTGAGAGAAAGGAATGGGGAAAGAACTACCCTTCTATCACAGGAATCTTTGAACTATTTATTTAAATAACTGATTTGTTCACAATTAAAATTGTCTATTTCATTCAATCAGTACAAACCAGAAGCATTTCAAAAAAATTAGCAATTTGCAAAGTATCCACTTAACAGGTTTTCTTTTGGACTGAGCTGTTATAAAGTGCCTCTATAAATATTTTCTTCCAAATGCTGTAATATATAAAAGACCAGGAAATCAGGCCAATACAAGCCCTAACGAGAAACTAAAAGGTTTAGATATCTACAAGGCATATGTCTACACAAGAATATTGTTTGTGTGCTGCAGAATAGGAAATGTATTTTCTACAAATTCATTCCAAGTATCTTTCAAATAATGGGTTCTCATAAGTTCTACGTGGCCTGGTAGGGGGGCGGTAGACTTCAGCTTTATTTTCGGTGGTGGGAGCTATTGTTCAGTTAAAATCCCCAATTATAAATAGCCTACTTTTAAAAATATATATATATAAATATATATATATTTTTATTCTCAAAAATAATTATCCAAGCATTTAGTGAATAAAGATATTTGATTCTCATTCGAGGCATAGCTGTGGCGATAGACCCTCGAGAAGCTGGGTTAGAATCCCCTAGGTTGGCCTTTCCCAGTGTCAGTAGCTCCGGAGTGATTATACCCTCCTGCATAAAGTATCGCTGTCTCACCCAAGCACTAATCGAGATTTGGTGAAGAACTTTTTTATTGGCCCAAATCACACAAATTTATACACAGACATCCAGCATGGGCTCTCTATTCACTGTAACACAAGCCTGCCCAGGTGCCTATGTGTCTGGAAGATACTTGAGTCAGCTCTCGGTTAAACTAATTGTCTCCCGAACACAGAAAGGCGAACACACAAAAGCACCAAAAACATACAATTTTGTGAACACATGGAGCTCCCCCAAGTCTTAGGTGTCATTCTATGCCTCTCCACCTCCTCTGTTAACTCTCCAAAAAGTGCTCTGAGTGAATGTCCTGGGACCGAAAGCTATCTGATTCAAGTTCTAGCGCACCACAGGACCTCTGCTATCTGGTTTAGAGCTCCAGAGTGATTTTGAGTCACTCCCAGTGAGGCGCACCATGTCTGTGCGTCCCCTCTGGGGATGCTCAATGTTCTGGGCAGGAAGGGGCTCTAGGCTGGGAGACATAGGATTGAGGGTTAGTCTATAGTGATATAGACTTTTTAGTGGAGGTGGAAGACCATGGAGTCCTGTGCCTCCATAGGTGATCAGAGGGTCAGTCACAATAGCGTGAACCTTTAGTGTGTTGTTTAATGTTTGTTTGTTAATCCCACTATTAGTAGCCAACCTTGACTCTGCATGTTTATGGTTGAGTTGAAGGCCCAATATTTGTGAAGAAATATGAAGATGCTTTTGACTTTTATTTGTGAATAAGCATGGTATCCTAGAGGGTAGGGTGGTTGTGTCATGAGCTTCTGTCAATGCGAGGCATCTCTTACATGGGCTGTTCTGTTTTGAGAGAAGCTTATGAAAGAGCTATCCATTTGAAAATGTAGATAAATCTGTTTCTGGATTAAAACTGAGATTGCCAGCAGGAGTCCAAGTGGGAGGAGTAGTTCTGTAACTGTGGGGAAAGCCCTGTGGGTTGAGGGACAAAAGGTTAACAACAAGTAAACATAAACTGGAAGTCTCTAAGCAGAGAAAACCCAGATTACATGCGATTGACATTTTGAAAGCAAAACATATAAGATTGAAGTGCAAAACTGTAAAAAGTGTTCTCTCTGATGGGGTCAATGTAACAAAACGTAAAGAGCAAATAGCTGCTCAATGCTATAACAATAGGAAGAACATGTAGTAAAGTAACAAACCATAGAAAGAAGGCATTAAGCCATGTGTGGAGACCCATAACAAATACAAGGTCCAATCTGGGAACCAAGTGCCTGGTAGCTGCAGACCCACCATTGTCATAGCAGACTGCTAAGCAGTGATAGTAAAGCGTTTCAGTTTAGAACCCAATAACACAATTAAGTAAGATATCATAAGGTAGAGAACCAACCTCACTGTGTGAAGTGCACAATATTTGTAGGTAGTCAATTTTAACTTGGGGGGAGTACCCTTATTTGTTGATGGGGGAGGGGCTTGTATTCAATTATTTAATGTTTGGAAATGGTAATTTTTTTTTAATATAGTTGCCAGTCATGGTAACCATAATTTAAAGATGAGTCAAAAATAGTAAGCCACGGGGATATATAGCGCTGCCAATTGGTATGTCAGAACTGTTAGACATACGGGTGGGCTTGATCCTGCCTGCACCTGGTTTGTCACCACTAAAGCTGTGCCACATAGGAACTGTGTAACTGTGAAACCCTGGTGTATAATCTCTAATATGTGTTTATGGGGGGGATAAGTGGGCTTGCGTCATATGGAGCAATAGTAGGATATGGGGAATAAAAACCGTCTCCATACATATTTCCCGGATCCACTATGACTCACTATGACAATGGAATTGCAAAGATAAACACGGAAAAAAACAGTAAATATCAAAATGATTCAGGAAATGTAATGAAAATACCCTATAACCTGAGTATATCACAGATCATCAAGATAAATGTTTTTGTTTTTTTTAAACTGTTTTTTCTATATATAGATTTTTTTTTCCCCCCCTCTCACATAATGGCAGTACTTGAAAAGGGGGTTGTACCTTCATCTTATGGACAAGATGCTCTGTAATTTAAATGCTTAGAATATATATATAATTAATTCCTGCCTACTTACCATATAAATACAGTGTCCGCCAAGTTCTATCAGCTCTTCTTGTCACGACATCAGAACGGACAGGTAGTTCCTGGCAAGTCCGGTGAGGCAGACCAGATGATGCCTTGGGGCAATATTTCGAAAGCTTCCTGTGTGGGGTGCTGAGAGAACAAACCTCCGCTCTCTGAGTAATGGAGTAAGTGAACTGATTTTTATGCCGGTAATGTAAGGTACTGGGCGGTCCTCTAATCAGTATGCAAGCTCCCGTCTGCACACTGCAGTGGAACGCACAGCCGGGAGGCCTTACATTCCACTAACGTTCCGATCGTGCTTCTGTACATGCACAGATCGGAACTTTAAATTTGGGACAAAACTCAACTCATACATGCCTATTGTACTTTCAGTCGCTCCGGACCGCTATGCTACGATTCGTATGGAGTGGGGGACAGGCGAGACTCAGACAGGAAATCCTATGCCTGCCTCGAGCGTGGGGTGGAACAGCACTCCCGGATCTCCGCAAATACCATCATGCTACCGTGCTACAATGGGTCTTGGAATGGCATACTCACCCAGCACACAAACAATGGATTGAACTAGATAAGAATCACATGGGGTCGTCACTTCTCACTACAGTATGGAACTTGAAGAGACCCCCGACGACGCCCCAAGACTGCACCTCCACTGTGGCACAGACGCTAAAAACATGGGACAGCATCAGAAGAATCCCACAGCTGTCTCCAACACCGAGCCCGATGATACAGCTGACATATAACCCTCAAATAGGAGGTGGGCTGCCGCCGACATCTTGGAGTATCCTAGGTGGGGGAGAATCCATCCCCATCCATAAGATGCTGAATAACACAGGCATGGTACCACTACGGGAATTGATAGACAACGACCAATCATCCGCAATGCAAATCTTTCGCTACACACAAATTAAATATTTCTACCAAACCCTATCGCACAGAGAAGCTCTACATAGGGACCTGACGTGGTTTGAGGCACTCTGTGACCAAAGGACCAACTTAGCCAAGTCCACATCCCTCATTTACCAACACCTCCTTATATGTCACCTGGAGAACGCGGACACCTTTCGACGACGCTGGGAACGTATCCTGGGTACATCTTTCACCGCAACTCAATGGGAAAAGATCTTGGTCCTACACCACAAATGCTCCTCTAGCTCCAACTATCAGGAAACAATTATAAGCTCCTATCGTTCTGGTACAGAACACCCGACAGCCTGCACAGGATCTTCCCGGCGGTGCCAGCTACATGCTGCAGATGCGGGGAAAGACGCGGAACGATCCTACATATCTGGTGGGAATGCCCACACATCACGCCGTTTTGGGACGAGGTCAAGCGACGAACGGAGGAAATACTGGGGTCGGACGGCAGGTTCGACAGAGAGGCAGCTCTCCTACACTCTACAACAGACACCATCGGGGTATATAGAAAATCTATGATCCGACACCTGTTGAACGCCGCCAAGGCTCTGATCCCACTACACTGGAAGCAAGATGGAACCCCGACGATTGGATTATGGATGGAACGGATGGAGGAGATATACAGGGCGGAATCAATCCACGCCTCATTGATAGGTATGGAGGAGAAACATGTTGAGAGGTGGCTGGCTTACGTGGTCGGGTGGGGGCGTGGCCAGCGAGTGGGGTGCCCCTCTTCCCCCCCCCTCCACCCGCGCCCCAGGGCGGGTGACACCGCACTACACGGAACACCACGGATCCAAATCAACCACAGGCACGACGAGAGTGCTCCTCGAGATCCCCCCCCTTAAACTTTTTTTTTCTCTCTTTTCTCTTCCTTCCCTTTCTTACCTTCCCTCTCTTCCCCAAACCCCCCTGTTTTCATGTTCTCCTTTCTACACCACTTGCTCTCTTTCCCTACCCCCACGCGACAGTCTGACCTCATTGACCGTGCACACTAGTTTCAACAGCAGTCAAACGGGAGGGTATGGCAGGCTTGGGCCTCAGGTGCTATACGAATGCTCCGCTAACTCGCTACTGCCCACTATTATAGACTGAACCAACAGATTACACCGCCTGCACGACAAAACAGGACCCGCACGAGGAGTGCGCGACCAAAGGCAATAAGATCCAATGGAAACCCACTATTTATCAATTTTATACGGGACGACGAGTCCCATCTACGAACTAAACCTTCAAGTAAGCTACACCATAGACATTATAATGGCCCCTACCCGCCTAGAAGATACTCCTAGGCTATATGCAACCATTATGATGACAGGCGAATCTGGCCCATGCACTACACAGTCACTACCTGGCTCACCCAGAGGTGATACACTCACCTCTTAATATATGACCATAAGATGCAAATGTTTGTATATTTAATACATGTAACATAACGAAGTTACTGATACTGTACTACCTTCTAATTGTTAATATTGTTTCGGTTCTCATTCCTTTATAATCCTATGGCTGCTCCCGATTTTGCGAGACCTGCGTGTCTCCTATTTTGCCATCCTGTCGCACTGTTGTACATTTTCGATGACACAAATAAAAGCCGTTTGATAACATTACAGAGATGTCAGTCCTGCCTCTACAGAAAAAATTGATAAAGGTAAAATGTCCGCTCCTGCTCCAGAGAAAGCTTCAGGCAAGGCAAAGCATTTGCGCTATATGGAATGTGCAACACCACTTCTGAATGGATGCAGAAGAAAACATGCAATCAGTGTGCAGCAGAAATCCTGGAAAAATTTAAACAAAAAGAGATGCATTCCTTTTTAAGCTGGTTCCTAGACAAAACAACTTAAACTTTTGAATCATTTAAGGACTCAGTGAAAAAAGACAGCATCCCTGTTTAAGTTCAGGAGCGTCAGGTGAACAAGTGCAAGAGACATAGGTCCTCTTCACAATCAGAACTCTCATCTCGAAAGTGTTCTAGCTCGTCCATTTCGAAATTTCCAGTGCAGACTCTAGTGTTGTATATTTTCCGCTGGAATAGTTTATAAAAGAAGTGTCTGCTGTTTTTCAGGAAGATAAACCTATGAAGAGTAAGGTAAAAAATCTCCTCATGCATCCAAAATTTCTAGAGCTGCTCCAGAGGAAGTGGAAAAATCTAGACACTTTAAGCAAATTTTGAAGTTACAGAGCTAAAACAAATGGGAGGAACTTGTGAATATACAGGTGGCTCAATTTCCCCCCTTCCCCCCCCCCCCAAAAAAAACGCTATTCTGATCGGCAAGGTTTCTGGCCTCAAAGATCCGATGGATAAACGTACAGAAGAATATTTCAAACTACAAGTGACCAATGCAAAGCTTTCAGTGGTGAAAGTTCAGAGTTTGTGGTTACAATCTATAGAGGATAGCCTGGTGGAAAGATCCAAACATGACTTGGTGCAGTTGCTATATAATATCAGATGATCAAACAAATTGCTGCTAAATATGGCTGAAGAAATGTTAAAATTATAAGCCCAAATAATGGGATTGTCTTAGGTGGTCAGGTCCTGGATGGCAGATACTGCATCAAAATCTGCGTTACGCGAACTTCCATTTGAGAGGAGCAAACTATTTGGTACTCCATTGGAAAAAATAATTTAAAAAACATCTGAAAACAAAAAAGATCTTCCACAAGACACCAAATATTCAGAAGGACAAGACAGTCAAATATTTCAATTTTGTAGGCAAAGATCCTTTGGATATCAGGACAAATACAGAAAACTTTGCGGACAATCGAGGGATAACAAATTTAGAGAAACTACTAACAGGCAGTATAAGAAAAGAAGATTTTGACGCCAGAAGAGGGGGAGGATGGCTTAAAGACTTCTTGCAAAGATGGAAAGAGACAACATCAAGTGCATGGATTTTATAAACTATTGCAGAGGGGTACAGAATAAAATTCTCAGTACGTCCCAGGCCGGAGTTTATAGTTTCTTTCTAACATTTTCAAATAAAAACAAACTCTTCTAGCAGAAGCACTGCTTCTTTTGAAGAAGAGAGCTATAGAGAAGATTCCAAGAAACCAGGAATTCCAAGGAGGATATTCTCCCCTTTTTTGATCCAAAAAACAGACATCTTACTGTCCAGTGCTTGATCTCAAGTCACAAGATGTATTCCATATCAAAGATTTCGGATGGATAACATTCTATCTGTAACTCACGTTCTTCAGAAAGGATATTACATAGTGAAATTAGATTTAAAGGATGCATACCTACATGTACCAATGTCAGTGACTACAAGAATTATGTACTTTTAATTCAAAGCCTTACCTTTTGGCTTTGCGTCTACACCATTTGTAATCACAAAGATACTAGCTTCATTAGTAGCTGTAGCTACTCTACAGTTAAAAGTTATGTCAACACCAACATTCCCGCCTGGAAGGACCAAGCCTACCGCCAAGCGAGAAACCCCAGCACACCACCCGACCTCTTACTCCCAAGCAGCTTGCACTGAGGCGACACAGAAACTGGCAAACCCGAGCAGCCGTCACCAAGCCCTCTACAATGGCGGTCACCAGCTCCCAGATGAACAAGAAAGGCAAGCGCAACAAGCTACAGCGGAAACCCAAGAGATCCCAGCAAGCAACCCAATGCACAACATGGAGGGACTGTGCCCTGATGCCTGCTCTGATGGACACTCACTCCCAGCTACTCAGAAACAGCAGAGCAGGTATCGGGTAGTGGCGGGACTCCCCCTGTCTGTGAGGTCTCGGGACCACCATCATAGCAACCCTCTCCACTGGGCCGATTAACCAGGGTGAAATTCCACTAAAGTGACCTAGACATAGCCTGAATATAGCATTATAATTTCAAAGCACTAGCCTGTTAATATAGCTAGCGATGTGTTCCTGCTTCACTATGTTTGTTTTTTCCCTGTCTTTGCCTTAACTTTGCAGGCTTATAATACATTCGCAACGCAAGCTAGAGTGGCAAATAGTAAGCTTGGTAAAAACTATAAAGCTGCAATGCATAATTGGATATAGGCACTTACCTGCCATTAGCATGGAATTAGCAAGCATACAGCACTACAGGTCTCAACGCTGCAGCACATAGTCTATATGCATGTACCTGAAAATGGTGTAAACTCATCCTTAATTCTACACTTAGCTTATATGCACATACTAGCTCTTGACACAGCATAATAATATCATAACTAGATAGTAAAGCGCTGTTGCATTGTGTTATGAGAATACCTAAGCACCCTAAGTGACGAAAACATATATTGTTTAGCACCCATCCTATCCCTATATAAAAAAATGTGCTAGATCTACCATGTACCTCTATGTTCAACTGTTAATTATCAGCTGGAGGATTGCCTTTGGGGTACCTCACATGCATCTGTTCAAAGCTTATGCACTACAAAAATAAAGAATACAAAAAAAAAAAAAGTTATGTCAAGTGGCTAACTACGGAGGAGAAAGGACACATGGAGTAAGAGCTCCTGACCTTAACTGACTGAAATAGGAATAATATTAGCCAACAGTGGCCGAAATTCATGCTGTCTTGTGGCTCTCAAGCTATTAAAGCCAGGGTTCCGTCATGGCTCCCTCAAAGCAGCTGAAACTCACAGATCCGATGAGGCAAACTAAGAAAGAAAGCCGATCCAAAATGGCGACGAGCATGCGGCCTCCTCTTCAGCATCGAAGGGACTGACAGAAACAGCGGGCTCCGTGCAGAACTATCCTGACATCCCGGTAACGGAACGGAGAATGTACATAATGCTCCAAGAACTCAGACACACTATTCAGGGAGATGTTAAAACTATTACTACAGACCTCAAAAAAGAAATTGGGGACCGGACGGACCACCTATAAAATCGCACAGAAGAACTGTGCGCGGCCCACAATGTAGGAAATTAACTGAAGAACACACACTGCTTAAAAGGAAGATGGCTGATCTAAAAGACAGGGCCCGACGGAACAATGTGAGATTTCGCGGCATAGCGGACAATATTACAAACAAGTCCCTGCCAAATTGTCACAACTCTCTGCAAGGCGATATTGCCAGGCCTGGAAGGCGATCAATGGTTGATGGACTGGGTTCATCGTTTACGTTTCCACTATTACAAGACCAAAGACCTGCTGCTGACAGCAGCAAGAAAAATTACTAACCTGCCTAAGCCTTATCAACATATCAACTTGTATGCTGATCTCTCGGCAGCGACAATGGCGAGGAGGAAGGCGTTCGTGAATGTCACCAAAACCATCCAAAGCAGATTGGGGCTTTCTGCAATCAACGGATGCTTTGAACTATTCTCGCATAGCCCCCACTAAGGTGTCGGGAGAGTGGCAGATGGCTAGATGTCCGACTAAGAAATAGCCGTCCTCACTGTCCACAAGCAGCTAAGTGGAGACGGCAGGGGGACTATGCCTAACACAACGTTTAATATCCGTTTCCTTTGTTTCTCACAGAACTGGTTTATTGTCTTTTGTTTTTAATTAACTGATTCAATGATGATAGATGATCATTCTGCCTGTTACCATGACCAACTGCTCTGGGTGAAGTTTTTAAGGTCCTGGCGGGGTTTACGTGCATGTAGATAAGGACCCTATTGCAGGAGTCTATGTATGGTCAGATCAATAATATGGGTATTCAAATAGCCCCCATAAGTGTACACCCACTGAGTGGACAGGCAATTACTTGGTCAACAGCCCACATCTGAGTTAAGTCGAGCAGTTAACATTGCATAGCTGCGCTAATGTTTGCTACTGCATTTAGCAGGCACAGGTCACCCTCAAAACTGAATTAACCGGGGTTGTGGACCAAATACAGTTGCTAAAGTCTAGAGGCTAGCAGTTGGTAACAAATCGGACAAATGAAAATTGATTTAAAAAAAAATATATATTTTTTGTAACTAAACAAAAGGAAAAAAAAACACAAAAAAATAATAGGGGGCGGAGCCCGGTCGCCGAGCCGAGTGGCAGCCATCCTCGCCGGCTCCAGCTATAAGCTGTATAAAATACCGGCAATCTGACCTAAAAAACCACTAAGCACAGACGAAAAGACAGGTAGTCGGGAGGTGAAGAACCCGGGAGTGAAGTGCTGCGGCATGATCTAAGCAGAGCAGAGAAAACCCCTGAGGCCTGTGGCACGCCGCATGAGCGGGGATTGGATTGCAGCACGCAGGGAACATGCAGGGGATCGGACCCGGCCCCGTTCCCCCCCCCCCCATCCGGTCGGCTGGAGATGGGGGCCCACCCGGTGAGTGGTATCTTCCCTCACGGAGCCAAAACAGCAGACGGACACTCCACGCCTACAAGCAACGGGAGCGCCACACGGACACACGACCGCCCGGGCCCCAGGGATGGCGGACCCCACAACTGGACTCACCCGGGCTGCAAACCGGTCAGTTCGGAGCCGGCCCTGATCTTCGGATTTGGTGGTGGTTCGGAGAAATGCCCCCACATCTGTGAGCCCTGTGGAGCTGAGGCGCGCGGGCCCCTCGGTGGACCGGTGGCCGGGGAGATGCGCGCCGGCGCCATGTACGAGACCGGAAGTGGGTGAGGCAGGACGGGGCTGGAGCTCCAGGGAGGCCTGCCGGAGCTGGGAAGGTGCAGGAGGCTGGAGCCCTGGCGGACTCTACGGGGGGGTGGGGGGGGAAGCTGGACAGTTGCAGTCTCTGAGTGCCCACAGCACGGTGGACCTAACCGCGGGCACGGACGCAAGCATTGGGGGGGAAAGGAAGTGGGCCTGCCGTGACTGGGGATGCCTGGGGGATTAGAATGGGACCAACTGGCCCACCAAGCGCACACCTACCCTGTGTAAACACATGACGAAGATATGCCTGAGGGAGGATCTAGGAAGTTGAGAATTTCGTGCTGGGTGGATTCCGGGCGTTATATCGCCCCCTCCAGTGAAGTGACTCATAGCTATGTATTAAGTGCGCTTTGATTGAGTTAAACATACCACCTCTCCTTACTGGGGGAGCCCGTATGCATTTTATATAATTTGTTAGTTTATATATATAGACGCACGGATGAATCTAAAGGCTGTCACATTGTGGTAATTAGCCGTTCACTTTTTGACATATCGTAAGTGAACAATAGGAAGATAATGCTAGCTCAAATACATAAACGGTTCCTTTTACTGAAAACTTAATCGCATGCTCAGATAGACAAAATCAGACTATGCAATAAAGTATAGGGTTATGCTCTTATAGATGTAATGCGCTATGTCTGATGGTAGCTGAAACTCGCATGTTAGAATCACAACTTCCTAGGTGCTAGTACCGTATTCTATGTAAAGAGTCTGTTTATGCATCCCTTAGCTAGAACAGCACCGCTAGCTACAGATAGCGTAATGTAGTAAGACCACTCCGCCTAAAAGTGCATTCACCTGCCCAGGGCCGGCCTTAGGGGTGTGCGAGCTGTGCGGCCGCACAGGGCGCCATGGCAACAGGGGCGCCAGGCGGCCGACACAGCTCGCACTCAGTCACTCACAGGCCGGCCCGAGTCATGTGCAGAGCAAGTCAAGTGCATTGTGCTGCGCACTTGACTTGCAAATTATGAAGAGTGCAGCGGCCAGGAGAGAGAGGAGGTCAGGAGCACGGAGGAAGAGCGTGCTCCGCCTCCACAGTCATCCGCGGAAGGATCCTCACAGTGAGTGTGAGGGAGGAGGGCAGTGCTGGTATCAAGGTCGGCAGACTGGGACACTGTCAGGAGGGTCCAGGGAGCAGCAAGCTTCAATGTGAGTCTGCTCATTCTTGTTGTAACTATTGCTTTTTTTTTTTTAAATTAAATAGATTGTTGTTTTTGGATGTGTGTGTGGGGGGGTTTGCAGAAGGGGGAGCAGAGGTTTTCTCGCTGGGATTTTGGGGAAGGGGTTTTGTAGAAGGGGGAGGGGTTTTGTAGAAGGTGGGTTGGTTTAGGGAGAAGCAGAGGTTTTATAGAAGGGGTTAGAGGTTTTGTAAAAAAGGGGGTAGGGGTTTAGGTGTAGAGGAGAGGTTTTGTAGAAGAGGGGGCAGGCATTTCTGGTGAAGTGGCAGGGGAAAGGATTTTGTGGAGGGGGCATGGGTTTTGTTGAAGGGGGACCAGGGGGTTTGTAAAGGGGGCAGGAGTTTAGTATAAGGGGAGCAGGGGTTTTGTATAAGGGGAGCAGGGGTTTAGTAGAAGGGGAGCAGGGGTTTAGTAGAAGGGGGCAGGGGTTTAGTATAAGGGGGCAGGAGTTTAGTATAAGGGGGCAGGGGTTTAGTATAAGGGGAGCAGGGGTTTAGTATAAGGGGAGGCAGGACTTTAATATAAGGGGGGCAGGGGTTTAGTATAACAGGGCAGGACTTTAGTATAAGGGGGGCAGGAGTTTAGTATAAGGGGAGCAGGGGCTTAGTATAAGGGGGCAGGGGTTTAGTATAAGGGGAGCAGGGGTTTAGTATAAGGGGGGCAGGGGTTTAGTATAAGGGAGCAGGGGTTTAGTTGAAGGGGAGCAGGGGCTTAGTATAAGGGGAGGCAGGACTTTAGTATAAGGGGGGCAGGGGTTTAGTATAAGGGGGGCAGGGGTTTAGTATAAGGGAGCAGGGGTTTAGTTGAAGGGGAGCAGGGGCTTAGTATAAGGGGAGCAGGGGTTTTGTAGAAGGGGAGCAGGACTTTTGTAGAGGGTGGCAGTGGTTTTGGTGGAGGGGGAAGGTTTTTAGTGATATTATGTGAACATTGCTGTATAGTTGATATATATAATGATAGCATGTGTTTTGTTAAAGGGGGAGAAAAAAAATTATAGAAGGGTGGGCAGGGGTTTTATTAAAGGGGGAGCAGGGGTTTTGTAGAGGGGGCAGGGTTTTGTAAAAAGGGGGGCAGGGTTTTTGTAGAAAGGGGGGCTGGGGTTTGTGGAAGGGTTTTGTAGAAGGCGGAACAGGGCTATTGTAGAAGGGGCAGAGGTTTTGCTGAAGGGGGGGGGCGCCATATGTTGGGCTCGCACAGGGCGTCTGATCACCTAAGGCCGGCCCTGCACCTGCCTACATTAGAAAGGCACTGCTCACTTAATTATATATAAGGCTACACATGCTGAAAGTGCCACCGCATGCTTAGTTAAACATAACAACCGCGAAGCAAAAAATTGAACCATTTGTTGATCCTAGTAAGAACCCTGCAGCCACATCTGTCTAGATTTCATTAGGCACCGCCGTACTGCACCCATGCAAGATTTAGCAAGCTGACCCATGCTACCTGGCCGATAAAACTCTTATGCAATATGGGCCTCATAGGATTATGTATGGCTAAGATGAACATAATGCCAGCACAATGCGTTATTATGCTGGTTGAATACCTTTGATATATTAAATCTCACAAAGTTCATTGAATTTACTTAATTGCTTGTTTACTCTGACTTATATTTAGTAGATTTTTAAAAGTTTTTTCTAAAGCAAAAACAAATCTCGCAAAGTCTATGTACACTTAATTTACTTAATTGCATGTTTATTTAACTACGTATAAGGCTACCCATGCTGAAAGCGCCATTGCACGCGTAGTTAGACTTAGGTATTGCTCAGATGACTAAAAAGCCTGCATAATATGCTAATATACCTGTTGAATGCCGTTGATATATCAAATCTCGCAAAATCTATGTACATCCAATTTACTTTATTGCTTGTTTATTCTGACTTCTATGCCTCTGCGCAGGCAACCAAATGTTATTTTTACCAATTCGTAAAATGTCTGCCTACGTTTTTTTGCGACTCTAATAAACATATTCAAAACAAAAAAAAATAATAGGGCTTTATACGACATGATCACATTGTTCTTTTGTTGGATTATTTTAAATATTGATGTGCATGTTAATGGCTCTATCAGTCTCTCATGCACCTCAGCCAGATGGGGGAATGCGGGTGTTGGCAATGCCGGCTCTCCCACTCTCCCAAAGTTGTTCCCTTGCCCGCAAGGTGTTATGTATATACTTTCTTTGGTTAATGTTATTCATATTTTGTATTGGGTTTTTTTTCTGCATGGCTCGTGTTACTGGTCATGTGAGTTGCCTCGTGGTCGACTCCTGATGGCTGACATATCTAGCACTACTTATTTGCATGTGATCAATAACCCAGAGGTTGGGAATGTGCATGCCCAGTGTGATGCCACAGTAATTCATTGGGTGGTAGTCAGATGTGCGAAACTTACATTTAAGATGAGTAAACAAAATGACAAAATTAAATTTTACATCCATGATGTTCCTAAAAATGTTCTCCCTTAATGTAAAGGGACTTAATAGCCCACACAAGCACTGGCTGAGCATTAAAGATATCAACTGATCCAAGGGGGCAGTGATATGTCTCCAGGAGACTCACCTGTGCAAACCATTGTTTAAATCACCTGAATGCCCTCAAATTTACCATTCATACTCCTCCAGCAAATCTAAGGGGGTCTCCATCCTGTTCCACAGAGACTGGGCTTCCCAGTTAGAAAAACATTATGTGGACCCGGAAGGTAGACTGCAGGGCACGTTAAATGGCATTATAATCACGATAGCGAATCTATATACCCCGAATGACACCCAGAGATCGGGTAATGGGGAGCA